TTTTTTTTTTTTTTACTCATTACTTTATTTAGTATTTATTAATAAATCATATTTCATTATCATACTAATATTAAAAAAAAAAAAAAGAGGTGGTATTTTCCACCGTCCTCCCGTCACAATAAAAAAAAGTAGCTGGGGTGCGCAAAAAAATTTAAAAAAAAGTAGAGGAGCTACGTCCCCCTGCGCACCCCCCCAATTCGAGCACTGATTATAATTACTTAGGATTTAATTTATTAAATAGGCATTAATATGACAATTTAATGAAAGAATATTAAATAAGATATTGTAATGTTTTACAAATCAAAAATATCAAAAACATTGTATTAACATTTAAAAACTTGTAATGGATATGTTCGATCCATTTTTTCTTTTGTATGTAAGTTATTATTGTTTAAGATAAGCGCGTTTACTCGGTGCGTACCGATTTCTTTTATTGTATTTTATAGTAGTCCAACGATGAACTCGTCATCTTAAAGGACGGCACGACGCCAACCCCAACATGTGTATACAAAATAAAGTATTATAAACTAAGTTAAAAATTTTAAGTTTTATCTCGTTCTTACTAAATAAGTAGTTAAAAGTAAACGTATTATATAGTCCACTCTGAAATCGAAACAGGATATTCTNTAGTCCACTCTGAGATCGAAATAGAATATTCATTAAATCTTATGTTTGCTAACATACCAATGTAACTTTTATTAACACGCTTATATTAGTTTCACATGTGTGTTTGTTGTTTGTTGTAAGTTTGTAACTCCACGCGACACGTGTTATTATGTCGCGTATCCCGTCGTGTATGACCTTGAGACTAGACTGTCGTAACGCATTCACTCCACCCCACTTACCACTCAACACTTACAATATTTTCCTGTATATTTTTATTTTTGGTTTTCGTACCCATATACGCGTGCGTGTCATCAATTATATATATATATAACAAATTTTTATTGTGATTAACACAGCCCCGCGTCGTTTCGTTATAAACGATGCCCCACGATTCGTGCCACCTTTATCAGCCGTCGCCCTATTTTATGAGTATTTGACTNTGAGTATTTGACTGACCAACACCGCGCGTTATACGCCGCGGTGCAAAGTCCAGCAAGTGCCGCACGGCCGACGACGTACCGCCGCTAATGATACCGTAGTATTCTTCCTGTTGTCAAAGTGGCCACGTTGATAAACCGATCTGCACTCGCGCACTGTTGTCATCTACGCTGCTAACCTTTTGACGCCCGAGGATCACGCCGGACATCGCGTCGTCGACGCCAGCGAAAGTGCCGCGATATTATGCGAAGATTATATATTCTTACCATCGCCGCTAATATTAATATACAGAGTGGCCCACCACTCACTGACAACTTAAATAACTTTTGATCCAGTTAATATTTTTAGCTGATTTTTTTTTTAAATAATAGCTATACGTTAGGTCTATAGCTATATCTCAAAAATTAATTTTNTTTTTTTTTTAAATAATAGTTATACGTTAGGTCTATAGCTATATCTCAAAAATTAATTTTTTTACATTTTATTAAAAATATTAATTATTTTTAAATTTTAAATAAAATGTAAAAAAAAAAATCTATGAATTAATAAATGAATTTTCAATTTTATTATTTTACGTTATTAAACATTGAAATACGTATTGAGAAAAGGACAGATGAATGAGAGTGATAAGTAATAATTGCCTTGTCTAATTTCTTATCCAGGTATTAATGCCAAGTTTGTAATGTATACACATTATCATCATATGTATACACAGTAATCATGAAAAGATAGCGTTTTCTTCTGTCCTTTTCTCAATACGTATTTCAATGTTTAATACCGTAAAATAATACATGAAAATTCAAATTTTCACAAACTTCAAAACGCTACAGAATATTTACTACTGAATATTAATAAGATATTTTTTTACTAAAATTTTTCTTAAATTCTACTCTACAAAATAGCTATCTTAGATTTTTTTTTTACATTTTATTTAAAATT